AGTTATTTATTTAACTGAGGAATTCAGAACCGTCCCACCTTTTTTTTTTTTTTTGGTATACTTCTGTTCAATTTTTTATAACCTTAAATTTTTAATTTTAATCAAAAATTTTATTTATTATTTTTATTTCAACAATTAAATATTTATTTTTTTATAATTTTTATGTTTTTTTTTTTTAATTTATTTCTCTATTTTTTTATTAATAAGTTTTTATTTTTTTTTTTTTTTTTTTTTTTTTTTTTTTTTTTTTTTTTTTTTTTTTTTTTTTTTATTTTATTTTTTTTTTTTTTTTAAAAAAAAAAAAAAAAAAAAAAAAAAAAAAAAAGATATCCTTGTTCTTGTTGTTCTTATTATTTTTTTCTTTTTAAACATTATCATGTTTACCACTTAGTAATTAATACCCTTTCTTAAATAATATGACATCATTAATTATACTGGTTATTTAATTTGAACCTTCTCCTTTTACCATCTTATTGTTTTCATAATACATTCATAATTTTAAGAATTTTCGTAATGTATTTAGTATATATTGAGAACACCATAGTATCAATGAAAACCCATAGTAGTGTAGTATTTTCTCATAGAGTTTTAAAGATTCGATATAATTTTTTTCAAAGTCAAGTCGATTATTTGTGTTAAAATAGAGGATATAAAAGTGTTATTTTGTATTTAAAGTAAAAAAAAAGTGTATTATGATATTAAATTCATGATTGAAATTAAATAATAAAAACATAAGACCACACAAATTTAGTTTGCTTTAGAATATCTCCAACCAAATACCTTATTTTAAAGAAAGCAAAACTCCAAAATGAGGATTTAAGAGTTGATTACTCCAATCAGAAAACCTCAAAAAAATCTTTAAAGGTTTATTTTATTTGCGTTATAGTCTTTAATATTAATAAAAGTTACTAATAATGATAAAAATCACAAATACATATAAAACATTCTTTTAATATATTATAAAACACATAATATTACAATATTATATAATAAAAATTACATATATAATAAAACAACACACATACAAAATTTTTAGAAAACTACATATAAAATACCAAATTACTTTGTTTGGTACAACTTGTAAGATATGTAATATTTAAATCTTTATGTAGTTTGTTTTCATTTATGTTAAGTTTGTTTTATGTATTTTATTTTTTGAGAACTTTATTTAATGTATTTTCCTATTTGTATGAATTTTATTGTAATGTTATGTAATATTTATTCTATTTTATTTTATTTAGGTGTATTTAAAATATTTTAAATAAACTTAGTAGATGTATTTGGGAAAGAAAATAATTGTAAGGACTAAACAATAAATAATAATTTTGAAGTTTTGAATAGTAACTCAAACCTCAAATTTTGAGGATTTAAGATTGGGTGCTCTTAAAGCCTCTCAACTATTAGGGACAGCACTGAGTGTGGATTGTTCTAAAATGTACATACAGTTTTTAAATGAAAACTTTCAAGAAATTAATGTGTCAACTTAACATAAGTCAACTGTTCGTTTGGTTCATCATGTTCATATATTTTTATAGGTTTTTATTGCTCTTTATCGGGTTTGAAAATTTTAAGTTTGAATGAAACGTAACCCGGTCACATGTGGTCCGACAGCCGGTATGGTGGGGCATCAAAAACAATACTGTAAAACCCAGAATTATGAGACTTTTTAACTTCAATACTCGAGTTCAGTTCAAATACGTAACACCAATCATGAAACATAATCAAGTAAACATGAAAGAAATAATGAAGTAAACATGAAAAAAACAGATACCAGAAGACATGAAGCACATACCCAAGCAAAACACTCAATATGAGCAGAATACATAAAAGGATGTGAAGACTTACCGGTGATCGAAACAAAGAGTAGGAAAGAAACCAAGCAAGGTGATTGACAATCATGATCGGCCATGATCAAACGAGTTACTATCTTCATTATCTTCCAATTTGGTATCTGTCTCAGCAAGAAATAGTTGTATATATATATAATGTTGGCCAACTATTTTTACCCTTGTGGTTTTCAATTAAAAATCTGGAAAAATTGATATGTAGGCCATTTTTTTGATAACGACATGTGGGCCATTAAATGAAGAGAAACTAGGTGTAATATACATAACAAAGCAAAAAAAAGTATATAACCATAACAAGCTATAACCTAGGATATTTTGTATAATTTTACGAAATAACAATCCAATAATATTTTTACCAGCGCGTAGAATGTTGAAACCTATTGTTTATTTTTAATCTGAAAACTTAATTTTTTTATTTACGAATCTATCGCAAGTTAGGCGACGTGGTCGATTGCAGAGCACAAGCCAATGAATCAAGGTAGTCTAAGATGATTTTATAGCATATGAGACATATCATAAGTTTCAGTCACGACATTCTGTTTTTCCAACATAAGTTTATGGGTTCGTGGGTGGGGGAAAAATGTTTTATTATATTGCTATACTATTAAAGAAACGTAAATAGTATAGTAACGTGTAATATTTTGAATTTTTCTTGGGTTGACTAGTACGGTTTCTAATATTATTGTGTTTTTTGGATTAAGTATTTTCTTTTTGTTTGGGTTAACTAGTATAGTTAGTAAGACAATTACTTCTATTAATATGCTATTGGTAAAAAAAAAGATTATTCTATACTATTTGGCAAACATATATAATATAGTACATATGTTATGTTTCATACATTTCAGTCATATTTGCCTACCATTTGTTATCACGCCAGTTGATAACACGTAAGAAGTATGAGCTATGGTAGGTGTTTGCAGGAAAGCAAATCCGTTATGGGATTGGAGACTTCGCCTTAGTGGTCGGTTTTAGATGTGGATGTTTTCAGGTTTAGGGTGTGTTGCGGCGGTTGTTCTTCTGAAACTCAATGCGACATGACAACTTAATCGATGCGATATCCTCACCGAAACCTCCTCTGGCATCACAGCAACATGAGTTCGAAGTATTCTCCAGCTTCAGTCCGGACTACTCACACAATATGGAACAACATCCTATCTCTATATGCATGAATCTGTGATGTTGTTATGTAAGTCTTGAATGTCCTGCCTAAACTGCAAAACATGAATAGTTTTGTTGTAGTTTTTGTTCAAATGACCATATGTTGACATGGTGTGTGCCCTTATGTCATCTTTAAATCTATAATTGTATAGTTGTGTTTGTTCGTTTTAGTTGCAAATGTACTATACCACATGACCTAATAGTATAGTTCATGGCAATTTTTACATAATGTATTAATTTGATGTGATTGTGTGGACTTCTATACTATGTGGACAATGGTAGTAGTATAATTATCCATCTAAAAATGTACTTGTTAGGTATCCGTGTGTTCCATTATTGGGCATAAATTTGTTTATGTGATTTATGTACATGATTTACATTTCACAGGGTTATCTTGTGTGCTAACGCTTGTGCTTCTAGAACTTAATGCCACACGAAGCTTGAATCAGTGTACCTCACTTACATATGAGTCACTTGCGTTGGAACCTTCTTGACCTTCAGCCCCGAAGAACTCCCGTAATGACATGTTGAGTGAAACCCATATGCTGTGCTCTGTACTTATGTGCTAAAAGCACCAGTTCTATCCTTGTTGCCGCTTTCTTATGTGTAACATTGCCTGTAATTTGAGTGAATGTCGTAACTATACTATCTAATTTATACGATAGTATAGGTTTTGAATTGACCATACATGACACTTGTGTTTGTATACTAACGTCATTTATTGTAGATCCCAGCAATTGGAACCTCCCTACGTTTACCAGTTGTATTACATGCTTCATCTACCAACAAACAAAACATTTTCATATCCGATTGATATACCATAATTTTGACCCGTCTTTGGTCATGGTATTGATATGTTTTTATTATAATTATCTATATTTTGGAGTCTATTAGGTATGTTTTCAGGTTCAGGAGCATTTTGTGGTAAAGTGATGATTTAGGTGCCTTATGGAGCTTAAAGGAGAGTTTTAAAAGATGACTATGAAGATCCGACGTTGAGAGACACATATCTATCGATACACAGCTTGTGTAATCGATCGATGACGATTCCGTAGAACTTGAAGTCGAGATACTCCATCGATCGATGTACGCAATGTACCATCGATCGATACAGAGCGTGATGAGCAAGATTTACTTGGCCGAAGTGAAGCCCAAGTTCTCACCAAATTACAAGATTGCCCTGACGAGTTTTTAACCTAATTGTTCGCCATATTTATAGTTATTCCTATGAGCCCTAGAAAGAATAGAATTAGATCTAATAAGAAAGTTTTGTATTCTATTTCTACTTAAGCAATAAAGTATTTTCTTTCCATCTTATTCTTTTGCTATGAATCTCTTGGCTATGTCTGAGTAGATTCATCTGTTAGATTTGGGGTTCAAATAGTTATGAGGGATTAGCCCCAACTATGGATTGTTGAGTTGTTATATTCATTATCCAAATGAACCCTAATGCTTACTCTAGATTTGCTACCTAGAGTTATGATTATGGACTGACTAATCTAATAGTCATTTTCCTGAAATCATTTGGCTAAGCCCAAACTCTATTAGGCACAATGCGACAGTCGGTCTGATAGAAATTCTCGGGTGAACACAGTTTCAATCCGATCTGATACTATATCGATCGATACTCTCATAGAGTCATTGATCGACGGCAACATATATCGATTGACACTGCGATAGCAACATCGATCGATACTGTCGGCAATCAGATCAATGGATGAGTCTAATAGCGACAGCTATAGATTCATCTAAGGGTTGAAGTTCTCATATATTTGCAAGCAATTCGTTAAGACATCCATAGATTTATAATCCTGATTTTCTGAATAATAACCTTGAATCTAATTACTTTCTTTCATTGTTTTCAAACCCAAAACCTATTTTCCTTAGCAACTTACCATTGCTACCAACTTTTATTTATTGTTTTTAAACCTTTTCAACCTAGCTTAATTACTTAGGATTATATCTTTTGTGACTCTAGTTCCTTGTGGATTCGATCCCTAAGTACTACGATTGAACCTCTTATTTGAGAGAGTAAATCACTCCTTAGGGTTAAACATTTGAGTGATATCACCGATATCTCCATGCCTGCTTACTTTTTCTCCAAACGGAATAGACTTGCGTTGTCATCTGGGATGTTATATTGATAGTATAATATGCAGGATATATAATAGTAGATTATGTATGATGTTCCAGTACATGGTTTGTAAGTGTGCATACGTACCAACTATTTATCTTAATACTTTGGAGTAAATCTTCGAGCCTCATACACACCTATGATGATGGTCTCTTTACTTTTTACAATGCCTATGCTACATCATATATATTACAGTATAGTTTGACCTATATTGTAAGACGTGTACATTATACGATGGGTTTCCAGTTATATATTGTATCAAGATAAGTGTTACGCTGCAAATGGGCCACTCTCTTCATCTTCACACGCATGCAAGTGAAAGGAGAAAATAGTAAAGTTTTAGTGCGAATTGTCACATCCACTTTATTGTGGCTATATTCTTAATTTTGGCATTCTTTATGAATATTGATCAAATCAACCTTTAAATGACCGGAAATGTGGAATAAATATTTAACATAGAAAATTTTCGATTTATAAAGGGAAATTTGGATTCATGTACGTAATAGAATCAAAGTTAATTTTATAACCATAAAAATAAGTAAGCTATGATATTTATGTATTGTTTTCCATATTACCCTCTTTCACTTTCCCTTCTCTATTTTAATTAATGCTGTAAGTTTAAAAAATTATAATTTGAATTTGTTATATACTTATTAAAAACATAGATTTTCTTATAGTATAGCATTAGTAGATATAGAATACATATGTTCACCCTCTCACGAACCCAAAAACTAAGTTGAAAAAAAATTGCAGAAATACAATGACAAATCTGAACAGATCTCGTATACATAAAACTCGTCTACATAAAAATCTATTCATAACCTATTGTCTGAGATTACCTTTTCTCCCCCACCGCATGTAATCGCTCCAACTAGATTTTTAATTGATGCACCGTTAAATATGATTAACCGACAGAACTCTAACTCTGTTCCTCCCTCTGGTGTCTCTCACAAATCCATGATTGAAAGTCTATCTCTTTTTCTTCTGAAGTGCCAACGTCCTATCAATTCCCAAATCACTTTCTCTAAATCTCTCGCTTCTTGATATTTTTGTTTCAAGAAACAAAAAGAAACAAAAGTAGAGATGTTTCTTTTTCTTATCACACGCAGCTGAAGGGATTTTTAGCCAATAAACCCAACGATATCAACCATAACCTAACCATTTGTTTACTATGATTATATTTTTTTTTGGGATATGGTTATTAGCTCAAATTTCCCAACGTTATATGCTATTCAATTTTCGAAGTATAAAATAGAATTGAAAATTTACAGTTTTATCTCTCTTTCTTTTTCGTCTCCTCCCGCCCCCTCTCTACTCCTCCTTCTCTCTCTCGTCCTCCGTCTCTCTTTTTCTTCAACATCCCAACATTTTCTTTATAGTTTTTTTATTTATTTGATATCCTTCATCTCGTTCCTCTTTCTAGTTTATTCCGTAAACTCTTTCTTTACTTTTTTCATCATCTTCATCCTTACTTTATTCTTCTACCCTTCTCATATTTTTTTCATTTATATATTCATAAAATATAGAATGGTGTATTTTATTCTTTACAACATATCAACTAAATATGTTGTTTCACATCATCTATTTTATTTGTTCTACGGATAAATATGCTTTTTCATAGTATCTCTTGCTTAAATTGCATTGAATCCTGTAAATAAATAGTACTAAAGATATCAAATTATTCTTTTTATTGAATCTATGTTTAAAATAATCTATTCTATATCGCAATACAAAAGAATCTATTCTATA